AAAGAATATTCAGTAATACAAAAGTTTCACTCGTACGAACAATATTATACGTAAAGCGTTACTTCGATGTGTATTCGAATAAAAAACTTCGTTAAAAAAAAACAAATCAAATTGAAATTGTAAACAAATTAATTTTAAATTGACAATAAAAATACTTGCAAATATTTAATAGTGAATTATTTACTTTATGTTTTCATTTCATTTAACAATATATGCGTATATTTATATTATAATATTTATATTCATAACTGTAATTAAAATTTTTATTCACAAAAATCTATTAACCTTACAGATGCATAATAATTTTTCGTTGTACTATCAAAAAAAAGAAAAAAAAAACACAATTAACTATTGAATATACCTAAACACCACAATCAAGGACATTAATATGTGTGTGTGTGTGTGTGTGTGTGTGTGTGTGTGTGTATGCGTTTGTGTTTTTGAAGTCGTAGAAAAACATTATGATTAATTCAATAGCTCATTAAATTTTACTTTTTACATTCATTTAAAATGATGGGCAGTGTTGAATAGCAATGCATGACTCGCCTCGGATTACTAGTTAAACAACTTGTTTAAATGAATAAATAGCACAAATATTACAGTAGTTGAAGATGAAGTTTTCAATTCAAATATATGTAATGGAGTTTGCATTTAAAGCGAAGCGCATTGTACTTTGAGGTACTAAAGGAACTCATCATTTTTATTGCAGAAGGAAAGGTTAAAGAAGGAAATTGGTATTGGAATGAGCGGTAAAATGACAGTTTTTGAAAATAACGATATTAAAAGGTCTTAATAAGATCGCAGTACTAATTCGTTATTTATTTAACTTGATATATTTGCAATCTTATATGGAGTATATAATTTTTATTGGTATAAGCTACTCTAATATACCGATAAAATTTGTGTTTATGTAAATGAAATACGTACGCTTTAATCCTACTTCATACTTTAGCGTTATTTCATCGTTTATTTTTCGAATTATTTACTATTCGCTATTAAATTTTTATAATAAATAATTATTCTGAATGAAGTTTATTTAATTATTATCTATAGCATATATATGAAATGGCTATACGTACAATGAAATAAATGCTAAAATAAAAAATCCCTTATCTAATTTTCTTAAAAATAATATATGAAATAATAATCAATTTATTACAAATTTATGAAAAAAGGATTAATAATAAATTATTCATTCTTTCATAAAAATGAAAAGTAACACTTGTTTATTTGATTGTACATTAAATTATGCTAATGATTATTGTATATTATATAATGCATCTAATTTGTAATTTAATTGCGGCAATTAATATTAATATATCTGAATTATATCTGAAATTGACAGGTAAAATAAGTGATGAAACCAAATCCAAGCTCCTTTATATTCATTATAAAACTGCATACGTATCACTTACTTTACTATATAATTTAAACTTTACCAATGATAACAACAGATAACGGCTTCTTGAATTTTGGCAAAATGGTACTTTATAGGCCTTGGGAAATGAAATATTATAAAAAAAAAAAAAAAAAAAAAAAAAAAAAAAATCAATAATCTTATCGATAGCCATTGCATCATAATGCATTCTATATACTCTTTATATAAGTTTATATACCACTTCTCAATATGTTCGAATTACAAGTAAAATTGATGTAAATTTCATTCCACGTTTCACTCAATCAAACGGTATATATAATAAAAAAAAAAAGTACTTACGTTAGACAATTTCTTTTTTTAAAAAAAAAACTTAATTATTATTTAATTATTCTGACGAATCAGTTAAATTCAAAGATCGAAAATCAAAATATTATTTTATTTACTTTTCTTCAATTTCTATCCTTATGATTTTGTAGATAAAAATATATCTCGTAGCATATATTAAGGCAACAACAAGTTTGACAAAGTAAAAGAGACTCTTATTGAAACGAAAATCTTTTTAAAATAATTGAAAGTTCTAAGGTTATGATGTATGAAAAAAGTCTAAAAATAATGATTTCAAAATAGATATTTTAATTGTTATAATAAATGAACTATATAATAACATTTTATAATACGAAGATGGAGTAATGAAACTTGTGAAGCTTAATATAATATAATTCTAAATGATATAATTGTTGCAAAAGATATATATATATATATATATATATATATATATATATATAGTAGTCTATTTTTCTTATTTAATAAGAGAATTTGTCAATGTATCACGTATATATAAGTCTGTAAATTTTACAACTGCAAATGAACAAATTAAAAGTTGTAATGATAAACATTATCTTGCGCACAGTATACGAACTCCAAAACGTGATGCTATAAAAGAAAATACTGTGAGATTACACATGAAAAGTAGTAGAGAGGCGAGAAATGAGTGATAAGGTCTTATTCGAGGATAGTAGACAACATATGCGGGTCACAACACTCCAAAAGTACCTATACATGCATATAATTGAGTCCATCACATTGCATTTTCAAAGTTTCTACTGATTCGTTAAAATTTTTCTTACTGGTTACTTCGGTTCTGCTGATGAAATCTCGGTAACCATTCTTCTTTCTAGGAAATTACATTAAAGAAACTACTTCTGCTTACATTCTTAATTCGATAGAAACTCTATAATTTAATTGCTCTTACTATTACTAATTTGAAAGCTTAAATTTTCTTGTGAGAAACATTTGTAATTCTATTCTTATTTAATCATTTTTTTTTAATGACTGCCGATTATTATAGGACATATTTCCTTAAACTAGAGAATTATTATATAATTATATTAAATCGTGATTCTTCATCTTAAATTCAATAATATTAAATTGCATTATTTTTCTTTTTAAGTTTTTTTTTTTTTTTTAATAATACAATAATACTATATTTATATGCGAATAAAAATTCATGCCAATAAAAATTCATGAAGTTAATTGTGTTAGATCGATTTTCAAAAATGATGTAAGCTTTTATGCATACAAATTGATAATTAAAAAAAAAGAAAAAAAAAAGTATTGATTTAAATCTATGAAAAATACACATACCTAAATATGTAAATAAGATGATTTATTTAATATCGCATTGTTTCTGGTTTATTTGAATGATTAGTTATCTATAAAGAGAAGCAGTCTGTACTACATTTGATCGAGTAGAATGTCTCGAGAGTAAAAATAGATAATACAACTGCTATTTCATTCTCAACTGTAGACTTTTCTATTTGAATAAATGAAGGAGAAAGACCATATTATGGATAAGGAAGCAATCAGATTTGCATCAACGATCGTAAATCACATCCAATTTTTCTCATAAAAATTTCATCTCGAAAATCTCAATCCTCCATATATATATATATATATATATATATATTTTTTTTTTTTTAACGACATATTTGGATAGAAAAAAATATTTAAAAAAATATGCAATAATTTCTTATGTATTCAGGATAATTTAGTTAGATCGTAAGAAAAAGAATTTGAAATTTTAATGAAATATTAAACAATATCAATTTAAAGTTCATAATTTTTTAGAGAATAATGTCGCAAATATCTGCAATTCATAAATAATCATTGTTATTTGTTTTTAAATTAAACTATTCATAACTAATCGTAATTGTATTTCAATTATTTGTCGAGTGCTTTCAATTTTAATTCTCAATATTTGTTGTAGAATTAATTTACATTATGACTTCGATAAAATTCAATATTAAGTTGAATACGAAGTCTCTTGATTTCTTTAGATCATCTGTATGTAAAAGTAATAAATTACAAAAGACGTAAATATGAAAGAAATTAAAAATAAAATTCTAGAATATCATTTAATTGTTGAAATCAGGGAAAAAGAACAATTCAGAAAGTCAAGAAGTAAATATATTTAAGAATAGGTAGAATGGACTTTAAAATTTACATAGACAAATGTTTAATTCTTGTATCGAATTGGGTTGTAAGGAAACTAAACGAACTAATTATTTGTTTTAATAAGGAAATATAAATGGATATCAATTTTCATAAATCGTATTCTTTATTATTTTATAAATATATATTATAATAATTAAATTGTCAACCCAATTGAATTTGTCGCATGATCGATGGTTTAGAAGTATTTTTTTGTTGTTGTTGAAAATTCCTCCTTCCTAATGCTCAATGGGCTGATTCGTAATTCAATTGTTATTTCAATTAGATTATTAAATTAAATACGAATAAATAACGCTGATTTAATTCAAAGAAACTCTATAATATTAATGCTCGTTGCATCGCGCTGATCCTAAAAAAAAATAAAAAAAAAAAAAAAAATAATAAAAAAGAAAAGAAAAAATCGGTTTTACTTCTCGATTGAGTATCCATTGTTACATCTTGACATTTCAATACGAATTCGCTTATGCCTCTAAAATTCACATTCCTGCGAATGAATATTATTTGAAATAGATTTTTATCGAGAGGAGAATTCGAACGAGCGAAATAAAAGATAGTAAGAAATAGTTTTTCGTACAAAAAAGTCCTTGAATAATTTTCAGGGCAAAGTAAAGAAATCCATTGAGCAAGTGGGATGGAGAAAAAATCCTCTATGGTTAAAATGAGAAAGGTATGAGGCTTGAACGATGCTTGATCGTGTATCTAATTGCGAAAGCCAAGTATCCTAGTATCATAATAATATGATGCTATTATACAAAAATGAAGTATACGAAGGATTTAAGCATTAGTAATGTAAATTAAGCTGAAAAATTACAAATAAGTAGGCTCGCTGGGGCGCGGTTACGGCTGCTATTTAACGGCCTCTCACAAACAGCCAACGCGAAATTCCAGGCCAAGCCGTGGCCTATGATGCAATGGTCATCATAGGATGAGCTAAAGATCGAAAGCCCCGCTCATGCAGCGTCGAGGATCGAAGAGAAATAGGGTGGTGGCGAATGAAACACGTGGACGGATGAACGGTTGCGGGAAAGGAAGCTCCTTGGTGAGTTAGTCGAGTGCGGAAAGTGGCGAGTGGTGGGCAAGAGAGCCACTTATGATTGTGGTAGGTGAGGGTCGGGGTCGCTTTAACGACGACGGCATAACTGCAGAACCGGAAGCGAATATGTAGCGTTGGGCCGAGGTAGCCGGCGAAATGCTGCTGGCAATTGGGCGAGAGTGAGACTCCGCCGACATGGACTTTGCGGGCACGAGCGGAAATGGCACTCAGGTGCACTGTGAACTTCTACAGAGGAACTTCAATGCCCCTGAGAGCGGTAAGTTTTATCATCGGTTCTACTTTACGCTTCGGCAACAATGTCGATATAGAGAGCAAGTTGCTTAAACATATTTTTATACCCTCGAGTACTTGTAAAGTGTAGCGTACTAGAGATCGTCGGTACGCTGAAAGAAGCTGATGATGAGCTCGTATTGCGAATGGCGGTGATATAATTGTGATAAGTTTAAAAATTAATGCCGGATATGATAATGGATGTTCCAGATATTTTGTTCCGTACAGACCGTGTGATTAGAAATATCTTCTCCTTTATCAATCAACTCCAATGTGACATTGTGTATTACAGAAGATTCGTATAATATTCAGGCTTGTAATTAGATATTTTGTTATGATTTTATAGTGCGATAACGTATTACTGATATTGACAAGCTATTTAAATTATGCTTCTCTATTGCAAGAATTTGTATAATTATTATAATTACTTATCTATGCGCTATATATATATGTTTTATTGGTTGCCTAATTTTTAATTATAAAATAAATCGTACGATCATTAAAAATTAGCATCGGTTTTGGATAATTAATTTCTCACCAGTGGATTAAAAGTTTATGTTCCTGTTAGTATATAGAACGATAATAAAGTTATATTTACTGAAGTATATTGATTAATATTGATATTGATTAATTAGAGGAGACGAGATGACTTGGAATTAAACAATTAATAAAAATTACTCTCTTGTTATACAATTTGTGAGAAAACATAAATAAAAAGTACATATTAGCAATTAGACGGGGGAAACTTTTTTCAATTTCAAATGACAAATACGCTTATAGTAATTGAATTTAATGAAGCTAGCAAGAATCTTAAATTTAAGCAACAAAATCAAATCGAATAGTTAAATTTTTCTACTTATTATTATTATTACTATTATTATTATTATTATTATTTTTTTTTAATATCCTTTAATGTAAATATGCACATAATATTGTTTTAAACGCACTGTAACAATGTAGTTTTAAGGAACGTTGACAGATAAAACGAAAAGAATAATAAAATGTAAAAATATAGTTCAGCAATAAATAAAGATAAAAGAAGAAAAACAAATTTTACAACATGAGCTTTAAAGAGTTTTAAATGAATAAAGATGTTTCGATACAAATCTTATATGTTTAGTATTTCATGAAAAAGTTAAATATACCTTGTACTAATTACCTATTATTACCTATATGTACTTTTAGAAATTTATAATTTATTTAAATGTTTTCACATATAGAAAAATATCTAATTTGTCAAATATTGTTATTGAAAATTACTGTAAGGAGCTAAAGAAGCAAATTTTTTAAATCCGCACTATTACATTATCATATAACAATTCTTTTTACTGTGAATTATGTGAATTATAAAGAAATTTTTCAATTTAAACGAAGAAAATTTCTCTCTCTTCATCTCACTCTGTTTCACTTTCTTCTTATTTCCTTACCTTAATGTCTGTGTCACTCAGCATTCGCAGAGTCAGAAGAATATACTTTATGTCATGAGATACTTTTCAAAGTTCGTTGCACTTGCAAGTTACCACATCAAGTATCTCTGGCTCTATATCGTCCAAGAGGTAAGAACGACAGAATCAAATTCAAGTTCTAGAGACTACGGCTAAGGTGGGAGTTTTAGTGTTTAACGGCTGTAGAGAAGCATTGATAAAAAAAAAAAAAAAAAAAAAAAAAAAAAAAAAAAAAAAAAAGTATAAAATAGACTGGCCTGTTGGGAATTTCGGAAAAATCAAGTTATCGTTAGAATAGCCGAGGATAGTGGTGACAGTTACCTCACTATTGCCAGGAATAAAGCCTAAATGGCACAGCAGTTGTTCTGCTTGTTCCTCTCTCATTTTTAGTTTATATGTAACGTAACCAAAGCTTTACTAACTTTTGCTCTGCTTCGTTTAATTGAGCCCGTAGAGAGTCGCCTAGAATGCTCTATATACCCATTTTTCCAGCGCATTGATCATTCTCGGCAAGCTCGTCATCCTCGTCCTTCTTAATTACTAATTCAGAATATAACGATGCTTTCATTGTCAGTTTAAAAGTAAAAAATGCTTTTTGCACTTGACTCGTTTAATCAGCGTTAATGCATTAATACTTTGTTTAGTATAAGAAAAAAAAAGGCTTTATATCTTATATATGTAATGCCATGGCTTTTCCATTGGAATGAATAATTTTTTCAATTTATCAAAAAAAAAAAAAAAAAAAAAAAAAAAAAAAAAAAATTTACTAACCTTCGCTATTGTTGATTACGCACTCAGTCTCAGTCTCATCGAGGCTCCGCCCGTATAATCAAGTCGACTGACATCGATGCACCACCATAATACCATAATATGCTTAGACAGGAAGCGAAATTAATGGTTACATTATGTTGAAATTACGCGAAGAGGTCTAGGCGAGGCTGTCCAATGAATTTTGGCAATAATGTTCTATTCTTCACGAGCAATCGATCTAAAATACATGGATGATTGAGTGGAACTTTGTAAATGAAAAAAATCGTGCTAACCGGCAATGTCGTACATTTTCATGAAATCAATTTACCATTTGTAATAATTGCCTCTATCTTTTGCCATGTACTTGCTTAGTTTATATTGCCAAACTTGTTGGCATACATTGTATATGAAAGGAAGCGAACCATCTATTTGCATATTATCCCATATATCGACTATATGGGATATAATATATCCCTCTATAACTTTCTCATCTGTTAAAATATTTTTAACCGCAATCATAATTATAATATTTACAATTAATTGTTTCAATTTTTTTGCGTAAAATTTTAAAAGTATAACTATCCGATAAACGTATTAATAAATTTATAAGTAATATTATCGATATTATCAACATCGGCAAACGGATTTAAAACCATGGAAAATTAAAACACCGCACCAAATTGGTATTAAACTTAATTATTCCAGAAGTTTTTTATGATTCAGTGATTTTTCATTTATTGACAATTTTATTCGTAATTGAATCGGGGCTCAACGGCAATTGATATTGTAATCAATGAATAAATGGAAATGTTAAGGAAAGATAGGAAGAATGCAGACATATTCAGTCAAATTGCGAAAATCTAATAATTATTTAGGTAAAATGATCATATTTACTTTAATAATAACATAATAATAATAATAATAATAATAATAATAATAATAATAATTTGATACAACATAATAATAAATGTATATATTATGTATATTTTAGAGTAAACGATACAAAAATTTAACTATTATCAGCATCGACAAAGCACTTCATAACTTATCATTAACGATAATATTATTAAGCAATATAAAAAAAAAAAAAAAAAGAAGTATCTTTAAAATTTTCAATAGAAATTTTTATAAAAAGTGTATTATTATGCTAGAAAAGGAGCTGAAGTTTCAAATCAATTTGAGATCCTTTATAATTTTAATATAATTGAATTACATTTGACGAATCTTTAATAATATTTCTTTTTACTAATATAAAATTTATAAAATACAATGGAATAAAAAGTGGTAATAATTATTAATTATTATTATTAGAAAAATATATCTGTAATATTTTAATAAAAAAATAGTATGAAAATAAATGTCGAATTGTAGAAGGAAATTAAACGTTGAAAGTATAAAATACAAAATAGATATTTGACGAAATATGTTTGTTATAGTTTCACTTAATTTTCTTCATTTTTTAAATTCTTTACTAAATTATCCAATGCATCGACAAAATATTATTAAAATTTTTAAAATGTACGCATAACACCAGGTTATGTATATACATAAAACTGTATATTTATGAATTTCATTAATAGAATCGTTAATTCTACAGAAATCTGGTGCAATTGGGCATGGGATTCTATTCTCTGTTGGCCTCCTACAAAAGCATCAACAGTAACAAAATTAAGATGTCCCTTGGCGAATGGAATCGATACAAGAAGTAAGTGATATCGTAAAATAATCACGAATAATTCTATGATGAATAATCATTTGATTCGACCATAAAATCTACATTCTAGCCAACGGAAAATAATAAATTCATATATCGTAGTTTTGCGTAATATCGTTTCTATATGTTTTACCAATTTTAAAAGAGCAATTAGACAAGATTGAAGCTTATAACTTTCGAATTATCATGTTTATCAACGATAGAATGACAATAAAGACAATAAAAACTTATAATTAAGTGTCGTAGTAATAAAATATTTCGGATAAATCTTAGTAATAAATAGTTATATTTACTACAAATATATTGTTTGTTTAAGTTCATTCAAATTAATCAAATATGGTAGGTGGTTAAATCATTTTAGATATATTATTTTTATAATATGTGTATAAAAATAAATATATAAATAAATAAATAAATATATATATATATATATATAAGTTGTATTAAGTTGTATTTAAGTTTTAAATATTTTTACATTTTAATTTTTGTATAGTTCATTCTTGCAATGTATTTTCGTATATTTTTGAATTTTTAGATATTGAAATTGTTTTCGTTTTTTTTTTTTTTTTTTTTTTTTTTTTTTTTTTTTTTTTTTTTTTTAATCTAACTCATCAATTCTGTATCGTTTTGAATAGAATTATACATACAAATCCACACACGAATTGTTTTCAATGACAAGTAAAATGTCAGAGACAAATTCTTATCCCGATTAAAATATATACAGGTATGTAAATATTAGAAAAATTACATTTTAATAAAACGCAACTGTGAAATATTCAGTGAAATATCTCTTTTATATATCATTGATGTTATAATGTCTGAATAACTCTAATTATGCATTTTTTAATATTCTAGACTGTAAGTGTATGCTAGTACAATTACAGGTAAAAAATTAAAAAATTGTAAAAAATCTAATGATAATTTTCGCTTTGAAACATAATTAAACTAAAAAATTTTATTTAGTTTTTCACATCAATATCATCAAGTGATATCGAATGAATTTAAATAGTCTATTATTTATCTAAATATTTGTTTAATGCAATACTAATTGGATATACAATTTGCATAGTATTTAAATTTATTATATTTTCATCGATTAAAGCTACTTTGTGGCGTTTTTGATTTCCCATCCCACACGATTACAATAATTATATCATATATGAACAAAATAAATATTTAAAATACATAAAATGTAGTGCATGCTTTATTACTATATCAAAATCAATAATCAACATGAATTTGTTTTAAAAGATGTTATGATTTTATTTATGTAATAAATAAATCGAAAATAAGCATCTCGATTAATATGAACGTTATCATTAATTTATAAAAATCATAAATAATAAAATGAAAATCTATTAATAAATTGTACAAAAGAAGTTGTAATGTAAATTAAATATACATTTATCTGTTTAGCTTATATTTTTTTTTAATAATTAAAACTTTCAATGTGTCTAATGCGGATAATAAATTTGTGGAAACGTGAAAAATTGTATAAAATAACAAAGAGATTTTACATTATGCATTCGTGTAATAAGTATATCCTTGCGATATTCATTATTCAGTTTAGATTTATGTTATGGGATTAAAAATGAAACGAAAAGGAAACATTAAAATTAGGTTGATTTACTTTAAATTATTGTAGAATATCTTTAATTTTATATTCTTTTTATAAACTGCATGGAAAACAGAGCAACATTTATTATAACAATGAGATGAGAATTGTGAAAATAAATAAATTGTACTTTAAAATAAAAAAAAAAAAATAAAATAAAAAAATGTTTTCACTTGAAGCATTGAATTGAATTGAATGTATTAGTAACAACAATAGCAACAACAACAATAATAATAATAATAATAATAATAATAATAATAATAATAATAATATTATTATTATTATTATTATTATTATTATTATTATTATTATTATTATTATTATTATTATTATTATTATTATCATCGTTGTTGTTGTTGTTAAGCGTTTAATTTTCCTTAGTACGTGAAATGAAATCTCGGTTGTCATAAGGAATAATTAACTCGTTTTGTGTAAATATAGATATATCTTCTTTTAACGACAAAGTCCTATATAATGTTTGTTTAATACAATAAAAGAGACTGGAGATGTCTACATTCAATATGATACTCCCTCTGGACATGGACAGTGTCGCTTAATTTATATTTCAAACATTATTTGCTTAATAGCAAGCAGCCTTTGCTCTCATTTTTCCACACATTTGAAGTTTCTTCATTTTTATTGTTTTATTGTAATCTATTACATTTAATATTCCTACTATAAATACTGAGAATTATATTATAATTTTGTGAAATTGAAATTTCAACAAATTTTTGAAACAATAAAAGTTTTAACAATTAATGAATATACGTACGGGAGAACATAAATTGTGAATGTAATGGAATATCCAATTTCACTTTTACTTATATTCCCACATATTAACATAACATTGTCAGACATAAAAACAATTTTATTAGATAAAATTCTAAATTAATCTTTATAAGATCGTTCATAGTCACATTGCATTGCAAACGTATATAATAAAAGTTTTAAAAAATCTTTATTAACATTAAACAATATTGATCATAAAAACACGTTACATGATTTATTTCAGTGTTGGTTTTTAATTGCGTATGTTACGGCACGAATTGGATGATATAATTTTTTCTGATATAACTTTCATTTCATTTGATATATTATTTTGGTGATCTCGAGTTGACTATCTTTGTCTTTCTCTGCTTCCGTCCTCCCTTCATTCGGAAGCCCACATCTCGCGCGAACAAAATGGAAATTAGGGCACAGTTTTGTAGTAACAGAAGTGTATATATGTAATATACATTTTCACATTCTGCATGGCAAGTTTTTTTTTTGTTCATTATTTTTTTCATATTATTCTTCAGTCTCTCTTTTTTTTTTTTTTTTTTTTAGTATATAAAAGTTATATATTCTCTCAAATAGATTATGTTAAACATTGTTAAAATTAATTTACAAATTATGCAATATGTGATTTATAGGGATATAAGCGTCTCTTCTGTACTCTGTAAGCATCTATATCTATGTCCTTTATTAAAATAAAACGTATATGCATGGACTAATTCATATACACACTGAATCTGGATAAAAATAAATTGGGATTCCGAGTGAAAAAGAAATTTACATGACCATCTATATTCGCGTTAGCGCATGAAAAATCAACTCGGTGTGAAAATCAGCTGCGCCTCAGTAACTTCAAATCTCATCGATAGGATCGCTAGGATCGACACCAAATCTCTGAAAATTTACTGTATAAACTTACAATATATGTGGTTGACCTAAATGCAAATTTATCGAATCGTACGTGTGACTTTTACACTCTCAAGGTTTTCACGCGATATTATATTTAGCATCACTAATTCATATCATGATTTCACATACAATAATCTGCTGTAATATATCATTTTCAGTATAAGATGTGAAGATAAATAATATACAAGTGATTTCTCGATCATATAATACGAAATCTGAGGTATTATAAAAAAAAAAAAAAAGAAAAAAGAATCTATTTAAATGCACTTGTCATACATTATGAAAATAAATCTTTTTTAATTATTATACATAAATTAAAAAGACTTGTAAACGTCGATTAGTCATTTCTTAATTTTATTAAAATTTTTTTTATAAAAGTAGAATTATTTATGTTCCTAAATTCCTTGAAAACTGTAGCTTAATAATCATTTTCTTTTTCATTGTTTGTAGTCAAATTAATAATTAAGCAAATTTAGTATATTAAGAAAACTATTTTAAATTATTTATCAATTTAAAAAATAATTTTCAAAATTATTAATGCGTATATTCATAAATGATCATCACTATCATTTATATTATATGTATTATAATTAGTATATTTTGAATTGTTTTTTTGATACAATGAGATTATTTGTAAGATTTATTAAAAAAAAAAAAATAATACTTATTATCAATCGTGCACTTACCTATAATCAAAGTATTATATTTATTTTTTTTTTGTTGTAATTATTAACATTACAATTATATAAATTCCATTTTTAATTTTCATATTCGATTAAATTATTTTATTAAATAATCGGTCCATTAAATTATTCAATAGAGTATGTGCTATGAAATTCATTTCATCATAATAAATTCATTAAAAAAATTTTTAGTATACGGAATAGTAAAATTTAATAATATATGGATTCGTAAAATTATTAAATATTATGTGTGAATAATCTGTGTATCACCTCGTTATTTTGGCAATATGAATTCAAATTAATTTTTTTTTTTTCATTATTCATGGATGTTTCATATATTGTTTTTTTTTTTTTTTTTTTTTTATAAATTCCTCGGACTACAATTTACATGTTTCTAATCTAATTTACGTAAAAACATTGAAGAATATATTCGTCATTAAATTCTTTTCAATATTGTCTTAATTTCTTGTTTAATTTATTTAATAATTGTTTTATAATCGTCAATTAAAAAGCTCGATACAGTATTATAAAAGCTATATTAAAATTTTGTCTGTCCATTCAGTATAGAATAAAGTACATACATTAGAAATTTACTGTTCTACTCTGGTAAACCCATTTCGAAAGTACTAGCAATTTCGCCTTAATCACTTTAATAAATAAATTGAAAGTAAGTGAGATAATTTTTTTTTTATATTGATTTATGATACATAACCACGTAATATATATCAAAATATAGAGTAATATTTTAGTTTTAATAGCTTAATGAATTTCTTTTTTACTTTATAACTAATAAATTCTTATAGTCATCATGTAGTTAAAATTAATTATTTAACCTGATGTACTTTAATAATATAATGTTTATAACAAAATCAACCATAAATTGTAATTTAGCTAAGATTTATGAAATCTATCAAAAAAAAAGTCTTATAAACTTTATAAAACATTTTATAAAAAAGTTTTTTATTAAAATTTCGTAAGAATATGTGTAGTTCAATCGATATCCAATCACAGAGCGATTTATACGGATACATTAATTATTATTCAGTAATATAATTTTTAATTTAAAAGTATTTGTAACTGAAATATAAAAGAAAAATAAATAAGGGAGACAGTAAATCTGATTCGTTAATAATTTCGATCCCTATTTTTCAACGAAATATTTTTTTTTAACCATAGTAGAATCAATACTAAATAAAAAAAAAAAAAAAAAAAACTATTCGCAAAAATAAATTCGTACGTTAAAAAATATTATACATTTAAATCATTATATCAATGTATTAGAATTTGATAAAAATTATTTTTGTCTATTACATTGTGAAATATTAAGTACAGAATCAAGTTTTAATTTTAGCATAATATAACATTAATCAACGTTTATGTATTAATCCGGAAAACCATAATTATATTTTATTTATCAGTAAATAAAAATTCCTATAAAATACTTAATATCTATAATTTAGATTAATTGAAAGAACAATTAAATTTATTTTGGGATGACACAAAATAAATTTTATGTATTTTATAAATGCTTGTTATCGATAATAATTAATATAAGCGTAGAACGTGCAAGTGGAAATATATTGTTAGATTATGAATGGCATTCTCATTCACTGGTATATTTATAATTAAATTTAATAATTATTATTTAATGGATATTTAAGTTGTTTTAATCATTGCATTACAATTCTTAGTCTGTTCTAACAAGTTATTATTTATTGTTTATTATGATATATATGATTGTTTGCATTCAGATAATATAAACTAACTGTATAAAATGAGATTACATCAATTTTTTTTTACATTTAATTTATCCATTTTAAAATTAAAAATACGTTTCCCGTCTATAATGTGTGTATATATTTTTTCACAATGGTATTTTATTTTTAACAATATAATTTTTATATTATATTTTTTACTAAATAATTTAAGAATGGAAAGATATTGTAAAGTATTAATACAACTAAACCGTTTCTAATTATTTCTTACAGAATAGATGATAATTAAACATGTAACATATCAGAGATGACGTAATGCAGATGTACTAGATTGCAATGAATTGTTGTTGCAATGAATGTAATTGCATGCTCAGCCAAGTGAAATTATTTCTGCAAATGCTGCAAACTTGGATACAGCTTAGCTTAGTTTGTCTTTGAACTTTTTTGAAATAAAAGATAAAATCTAAAGAAGTAGCCAATAGATCAGTTAGCCGGTCTTTTTTTTTTTCTTTCTTATCCCTATTTATGCGACAAAATGCTTACTACATCTTAATTATATTTGTAATTTATTAAATATCCATTTAATAAATAGGAATGAATATAAGCTGTATGTCTCACTGTACAAAACAACTAGCTGAAGATAATTTGTCCATAAAGCATAACAAAGCTCAAAAGCTCCAAGCAACGATAAATGGTTAAGTGGGATGTCATACAGAATGGCGCGTTATACAATTGATAAATGGGAGTTAAAGGTTAATGATCCCTGCCCAGGCACCCTTGTAAGGAAATAAAAAGCTCATCTCATTGTGTATTTGCACACACGCACACACATATATTTATATATAATATTTTCAATTTATTGCAAAATGATTAATGATCGCATGCAACGATTTAGATGTAAAGAAATGTTAGTTATAATTGTGGTGAAATATTGAGACATTTAACTGTTTTATTTCTATAATAATGAATTACAAAGAAATAAAATATGAAAAAATTACGAAATATATTAATCGAAAGAATAAAGAAAAACAAATTAAATAAAAACTACAATATTGCAATAGTAAGAAAATATTCCAAATATAAACTAAAGTTTACCTTATGGTAATCGTTGCTAACATTGAATTCGTATAACAACTTGATGTTTTATCTGAGATTTTTATATGTAATTTTAATATTAAATTAAATTAACATTTTTATATTTTTATATCCCCCCCCTCTCTCTCTCTCTCTCTCTCTCTATATATATATATATGTCTCTCTCTCTCTATCGATCTATCTATATATATATATATATATATATATATATATCTCATTAGTTATTGCCTATTCAGTGCTTGAATCCATTATATTTTTTAAGATTTGCATCAAACTCTTTTTTTTCTATTTATTTGCTATTAGATATTTATATCTTTTTAAATACTTTGTTCTATAATTTCTGATATTTATATATTTTATCAATTCTTTATTGCTCGATCTAATTTGAATGAATTTGAAAATAATAAAAATTATAATTGAATGGATCTCAGTCTTTTTTATTTAATTATTAAATAATTTTTAATATTATACGAGTTGTATGTAAGGATAATTATATTATTCTTTATATTCCGTATAATGTCGTTTGAAGAAGATGTAAATTCTGAAACGCTCATTCAAAATTATAAAATTTTAATTTGTCGAAATAATTTATATTACAAATCTAAAAGTTTCTGATTTTTCAGTAATATTTCATAGTTTTCCATTGCATTTTCATCAAATTATAAAAATAAATGATATTATATATTCATGATATTATATAATCAAGTAAAATAAATTTTATTTATTATATACGATATATTACTCAACATATAGGATTGCAAGTTGTACTTAAACATAAATTAAATATTTTTACAATATTTTCACGCAACTCTTTAATGTAGGAAAACAACGATATATAAAAATTAAATGTACTAAATGTTACTTACGATCGTTTAGTTTTCTTATTTCAATCTGTTAATCTAGACAATTTGCATTTTACCGTATGTAACTTTACCCAACATTCGTTTTTTATTTATTTAAATATTTCCCTTATAAGAATTCTTTTATCCTTATATTATTAATCACATAAAAATTTATAACGAAAATTACTTATCAATTGTATACAGAATTTTATAAAGAAATTTTTCTCGCATTACTAAACATTACACAAATTATTTTTCAACCAATACGTTAAACACAACATATTATTCTTATTTCACATTAAAAATATTTTCTCTATAATTCTAATGACAATTTCAATATCAAACTCAATATCCACAAAGGGTTATTGCAAAAAGTCGACAGGCATTAATTGCACGGGCGGACACATTAAACTCAAGGGCTCAGTGGAGCGAGGATTGCCAATTTCGCGCTGACTCGGTCAGTCGAGTCACTGCAAAGGGATCCGTACGAGACGGTGACTGCCAGGAAGTCTCGCCACTCTCGCCACGAGCACGATCACGAGGTCGATTTCTCGTACCTCCGTCCCATCCCCGTACAGCTCTTGGCTATTCGAGATCCCGACAATAAGTACAACCAACGTTCCAGCCCAACTTTCACGGACTCAATACCGGAAATATCCTAACGCAGTCGTAATCCCTTCCTACGAGTCCGGATGCCGTCGATTCCGAGACATCCGCTAATCACCGACAGCCACGAGAATGTCACCAAACTAATAATAATTAATGAATAATTAATTTTAGGCAATTCTCAATTTATACATCTATCGGAATATAATTTTACGGTATATATTTGTGTATTGACGTTGGCAAAATAATTACTCAATTTTTCCGATTTTGACATTTAATTGTCATTTACATTGTGATTTCAATATTCGTGATATTAACGTTAATTATTTATTTGTCATTGCTTTAAAAACTCTTGAAATAATAAGAGTATAGGAAAAGTTTATTATGATTTTATTCTCCACGATGTTCAACCATTAAAATAATATTTTTTACAAATATCTTGTATTTTGCAAAAAATTCGGCTAACGAGGATCCGAAGCTTTTAATAAAATAGATTTCTGGACAAACTTGTGGGCAGAATATAAATAGTTGTATTATTGTACGGCATACGGATACAATTGTACATATTGCAATTAATTGTATCATTTTTTGGTGCAGAGTTCGTAGAAAAGCACTGCGACGAAGATGGGCAATGGGAAGGCCGATCCGGTACTCCAGGCGATCGTGATTCGCCCAATGGATGGACTAACTACACCCCCTGCTTCACTCCTGAAATGCTACTCCTTATTAGAAAACTTTACACAGGCAGCGAAGATCTTGCTAAGGTATTTGTAATGTATGAACATAAGCACATTTATCGATTAAATCACATTATGAAACTTTATTATTAATATATTGCCTTATAAGTGGTAGCTTTAAAACATTCAAAATTTCATCCAAAACTCGGATTTTCGACTTATTTATTATATCTCTGTTTGATGTCATTGAAAATGAAATAGTCTAAATTATCAACTGGATATAAAATTGTTACATAAATAGTTATAGTGAAATAATAGATCCGACAATGTATAATAATAATCATCATAAATTACATTTTCTTCAATGTTTGCAATTTTTATAGGGAAAAGAAGATAAAGCGTTTTTTTTTTACTTCAAGTTCATTTAAAAATTTAATTTCTATTTAGTAACTGCGTTATAGTACGATTTAGTAATACACATACAACGAATTCCTAAAATTGTAATATATTACATGAAATTTTTGTGAATTAATTAACGTCGTAAGGCTTTTTATTCTTTTCTATGTTCAAATTGTAATTAATAACATTAAATTACATCTAATACTAAAACGTCTAATATTACTAATTTGAAGATAATCGATGTTAATTCAAATGAAAATTAAATATATAAATACAGATTTTAATAAAAACTTCAGTCTTATTATACATTAATATAAATTATACGTTTATTAACCTACGGATCTTAATAATGTATAAACGATGTTCAGATTTTTTAACAAACTAAAATAATAATAATAAACAAAATTTATAACAAAAATTAAAAATAAGCTATATATATTGAATTGAATTATATATCAAATTATAAATCATTATCAACACTAATGTATCATATACAATTAGCATTAATTTAATTGAAATGTAGTAATGCGTGCGAATAACAGTAGATAATTGATCCTACTGGATACTAGATCTACGACTAATCGCATCAGCAGCGAGAGGAGTATTAAAATATCGCAGCATTGCATTTCTCTGCAAAATGATTTTACTACAAATCTTTTTACATTACTTTTTACTACAAATCTAAATAAGGAATTTTATAAAAAACATTTACATGAGCAACATTGTACATTTTACATTAGCAAATGTCAATACGAAATTATGAAATAGACGCGCAGAAAAGTATATCTTCGATTCGATTGTCTAGTAAGAAGGAAAAAACATGCACACACATGCAAACATGCACACGCGTATTTATATATATATATATATATATATATATATATATATATATAAACGTATGGAAGGACAATTTTAAACAATGGCAGGTGAAATATAAGATTTCAAGTTTTCAAATATGATATACACATTGCTTGTGTCGTGCATATATATATATATATATATCTATATATATACGCTAATACTTTATTATTATAGTTTTATTTCAACACATTTGTCGGTGGAGCAAAAATTATTAAAAACGACTTCCTTAAAAGTATTTGTATGGTACATATTTAAATATTTTCGATATTATTAGAGAATATATAGATAATAATTATCAATTACATGGAAATAATATGTTAAACTCATACTTTCTTACATTACAATTTTACTAAACAATTAAAATTACCGAGAGTTTGCTGTTTTAAAAAAAATTTTTCAACTCAAGATTAACAATATGTACTTTTATCTTTATCTAATCCATATTATCAATAACATCCATCGTATTTTTACTTATAATTTCTTTCAAAATATAAACAATATTTTATATTGACTAGGTAATAGAAAAATTACCATAATGTTTTAATTTTTTCTCTTTAAATTTTGTACATTGCATATTTACTTTGATAAACACAGGGCTGAATCAACTCGAATGTTTATTCAGAGCACGGCTGAGAGACTCAAAATATAAATAATAATTTATTTTAGAAGGTTCCATGTCTTTAATATGTTGAAGTTGCCATCTTTGAATTCAGGTCAGATTGGATATTGCTGCGAAAACGCGATATTTGGAATTTGTTGGATTGAGTGTATCCTTGACGGCATTATTAATTTCTTTATCAATCTTCTGTCGATTTAGGTATTTATATACTATAATACAAATTAACATTAATATGCATAATTATATGTATTTAATACAATGTAAATATTAATTTTCTTATTTGCTTCCTAGCAATTAAAATTTATTTTTATTTTCATTCATATAATTATAAAAGCCAATAAACATAAATTGTTAAGTATACGACTAGTATGACTGTGATCTTAAATCACATATCTGTTTATTATATTTTTCATTATTTAGATTACGATTGGAATAACATTATAAAGAAAATTATTTGAATGCCTATGTATATTAAAATAAAATAAACCAAAAAAAAAAAACTTATCGATAGATAATCTTATTTGTATAAACGTCGAAATTAATTGACGACATAGGCATTAGCGATAGTGAGATCTTTATACATATTTATGAAATCAAGTCTGCATGTTGTTGTAAGAGTAAGAGTAACCGAAGTATATTTTATTCTAGAATATTAGACTCCTTGGATTATGTAAGCTTGATCATAAAATATGAAAACTTTGTAATTTTTTAATGGATTTTGATAAACAATGTGGGAAATCTATTTACAGATCACTGAGAAATACTCGGACTCGAATTCACAAAAATCTTTTCGTTGCCATGGTGATTCAAGTCGTTATAAGATTGACACTATACATTGATCAAGCGCTTTTCGAATCCAAGACTCACGGCTTTCAACATGGTATTCAAAACACTGTAAGTACTACCTATTTTATCACTTTTATCTCATTTTTATCGTTTAATTTTTCATACTAATTTATGCATACGATATTTAAATCTAAGAAACAGAATTATTAAAAATCATATGATATTGTACATTAGAAACGTAAAAAGTATTACAAAAAGTACTGAAAATGCAAACTAAAATTAACATAACAATTTATGATATATTTATTTGTAATTTCGACTCCACTGTAGGAGATAGTTTGATCTAATATTCAACGAATATCTAAACAATTGCTTGCAATACAAATATTTTATAATATAAATAAAGTATTTTAAAAATTCTATTAACAATTGCCACGGTAATGGAAAGATCAAATTCCTTTGGGTCAAACGAGAGAGGTAAAAAAATTTGGCTGAATAACAAGATAATTTATAATCCAAATGTAGCATATATCGAAATAAATTTCCATTGAAAATTGAAAAAAAAAAAAAAAAAAAAAAAAAAAAAAAAAAAAAAAAAAAGAAAGAAAGAAAAAACGAAGGAAAACATAAAAATTTTAGTTCGGGAGTTTGGCAAAATTTCTGAAATAAAAAAATGCACAACAAATTATTGAAATTTTTAGAGAAATACTAGAAACAATCCAACCTGAAATTAGATCTCAATATAGAAGTTGGAAACATGCTTTTCCAAATAAAAACGACTTTTCTTATATACCATAAATATTTTCAGTCACATATCACAGAATTCTGTTTCATATTATTTGCATATTGACACACCCAATATCTCTGAATATCTAAAATCCATCAATGTTTAATTTCTATCACTTTTGAAGTATCAAAAAACAATTATATCAAAACTCTTAATTTTAATTACATTACGTTGCAAGTACTGATTTACCATTATCTCCTGTATTGTAAAAGATTTTTAATTTTCTAGAAAAAACATGCATACGATGAATAACAAATATTTTTGTTTTATTTAACTTGTACGTTTTAACTAAAATTCTCGTCTCTTGTTCGATCGAGAATTCAATTAATGTACGTTACGCAAATAAACCACTATCTTATTATTATCTAAAAGACTTAGCATAAAATATATGTAAAATAACATTATATTAAATAATATTACAATCGCTAAATTTTTATTTCCTGGCTAATTTTAAATGGCGGAGATAGGATAATAGGCGAGATGCTTAAATTTGCTATTCGGAGATTATTCTTGTAGATGAAAAAAAATTCCATCTGCAAACGAGCATTTTCAAATCACGAAAGGCTTACGGCAAACGATGAATATTATAAAATAATTTTTATTCCTTTAATTCCTTTATGTATTACGACATATTAAAAAGCATAGCGATTATAAAATATTCTGAAAATAAAGATATTATGTGTAAAAATGTAGTGAAGTGTATTGCTGTACATCATGCTGTACTGAACATGGAGTCGAAGATCAAAGATAGTAAACAGATAATTTGTTTGATTAATGAAAAGTGATGTGAAAGCGATGTAAAAGGGGGCCGAGAAGCACGAAGAAATTACGATCGATTATTGTGAAGAAAAAAAAAGTAGGCAAGCATAGAGGAGCTAGTTTTTCAAAAACTTGACAATCACTACTCGACTTATTTATTCCATCCTCTTCTCATTCAACGCGTATCAAGATTTCTCAAGAAAACGGTCTATGCATTCATAAAAAAAAAAAAAAAAAAAAAAAAAAAAAAAAAAAAAAAACTTATATAGCTATTCGAAAAACATGTAAATGCACAGAAATTTCGATAAAATATGTACTTGCGCTTATAATATTTTATCAGATATTTTCAAATAAAAATTTTGTTTATCCATTAAAGTTTCATAAAGTTTTCAGAGCCATAACAGTGATAAACTTTATTATCCTCTCATATTTTATTTAATAAAAAAAAAAAAAAAAAAAAAAAAAAAAAAATGGAAATTGTAATAAATATGTAAGTCAGTATTATCGAAGAAGGAAAAATATTATTATTCTTAGAAAATTAATATTAAGAATTGAACGCGTTGGCCGTAATGTCATTTAAAATGTTTAAAAAGCGAAAATTCGTAACAGCACAGTTCAACTTTCGTTCTCAAGCTTATAAAATATATAATTAAATGTATTAAGATGCGAGACGCAATAATAAATATCCTTTCAAATAACAAGGAAATAATATTTCAGCCTGTCCTATGTGAAGCAAGTTATGTTTTTCTTGAATACGCTAGAACGGCCATGTTTATGTGGATGTTTATCGAAGGTCTTTTTCTACATAATATGATAACAGGTGAGAGAAAATGATTCCCATTTAATGACTTAAATAAATAAATACTGAAATACAGTATTAACATTAAATTATCCTTGAAATCAATAATTATTTTATCTTATTTTAAATAGAATTTACATTACTTTTATTTATTTGGAAATGTGTAGCACACGATACGAAAATTTCTACCATTAAAATCATTAAAATACTTTACAGAATTTACTTTAATCGATGATTGAAATTGTCATTCTACGTGTGCTCAGATTTCCCATCACACTGTGCCAAACTTTTAAGAAATCTGTACATTTAGATGAACAGATATATTATGGTTATTAGACTCGCTAACCTCACGAGTATTAACACTATGATAAGTTTCATAAAAGTATGTATTTTATGAATAAACAATAACAATATATATTTTTTTTTATTTAACAATAACAATATATATATATATATATCTTTTTTTTTTTTTTTTTTTTTTTTTTTTTTTTTTTTTGCTATCATCAATACGATTATTATGACACATTTTAATACCAGTGACAGTCTTTCAAGAATCGTCACACTACCGAATGTACAGACTCGTTGGCTGGGGTTATCCCATCATTATGACTCTTACTTGGGCCACCGTCACGGCACTCTATTATCATCCGTCGAAGTAAGTATCGAAATTTTTCTGTGTTTTCACCTCTCTGTGCCGTGTTAGCCGTTTATTTCCATCAAATTAACGTATATTATTGTCCTCGTTATCCACGTTGTCATCATTGTCATTCTCATTGCATTTGTCGCTATCGTTGCCATCGTTATCCCCCCTCACTGTCTATTATTATCACTTTTCAACTATATATTTTATGATGTTTTATGTTAAATAAACATTAAAATCATACATCAAGCTTTTCATCTCGTAATCCTATCGACCATTACTATTGCTCCGCATACTTATCTTATACTCCTTCATTATTGTCAATAATCATTTACAATTACTTTATATATCATAGATTATATCATTTCCGATATATTAGAAGCTAATATATTGCGATTAACTTATGATTATTAGATAAATCAAATTTTATTCTTTCTCTTACCATTGATATCTATCATATTAAAATAATTTATTCCTCTTTTTTAATAAAACATCAGGCGAATAACGTGTTATTAAATTATTTACAATACTAGAAGCACATAATGCCCTATAATATATAATAATTGTCTACTTCAATTTCCATAGTCAATATCAATATTGCGAGATCTGCCTATTATTTTCAATATTCTTAGATGCTGGTGGGGTTATAATCTAACCTTATACTTTTGGATACTCGAAGGACCAAGGATGGCTGTGATATTGGTAAAGTATTTCATAGTGATAATACCGAAAAACAATGACACAGTACGAAATATATGTCAAATGGAAATTACAAGTACATTAAAATTAATTTATATAAAGCTTACAAATTTAAAAATATATGATAATTGTTACGTGAAATAGGATGGATTTAATGATATCTTAATTTTCATTTTTAGCTAAACTTTATGTTTCTCTTAAACATCATACGTGTACTGATTGTTAAATTACGGCAGAGTCGTACTAGTGAGATTGAACAAGTCCGGTAAGCTAATAACATTATTTGTTAATTTTTAAATCCTCTATAAAACATACCGTAGAGTGTTTTGGAAAATACTTTTGAATTTTACAAAAATAATTACTTTGTTTATAACTTATTCTATCGCAATGTAATAATTTATCTATTTCTAAAATCATATAAATTCAATTTTATAAAAATTGTGAATAAAATTAATTGCCAAATATATGTTGTTTGTTCTTATAATCAATTCGTTTGAGAAATTAAATTTCTCAATTCAATTAGCTCAATTTAATATAATATATTATTCAAATTACTATAATTATTAAAAGGCCAAGCGAACATTTAATTCAATGAACTGATTGAAAGTAAATTTGTATTTTGCATTAAATATATCAATTGATATCAACTATAACTTTTATTAATAGTTACAATAATTAGTCTTATGTACTCAAATTAAATATTTTATTAAACTTACATCCGCACGCATAATAATATTTGAATAAAATGAAAATACCATACGTATATTTAACAATTTATGTATGATGAATGAACTTTCCTGTAATTATTGCATTTCAAGCCTCATTAATAATTAAATTAATATTTATATTCATTTTAACATTATTCGATAAAATTTGAAGATCAAATAAACATATTTGACCCTATTTATATAAATTTTTAGTCTCGCAAAATTTTTAACATAATACATTTTAAATATATTTAAGTAATAAATAGAGCACTCGTTTGTTATTATTTAATTTTCAAAATATATTGTTATGTAATGTGGTTGAAAGAATGAAAAAAATTATAACACTCTCATGGAAACACGCAATTATATTAAATTATTTATACAAATGTATAGAAAGATGCGAAATCTCTATATTTAAATAAAATATTGTAATTGATTGTCCGATATAAGGAGCTATGAAAATATATAAATATTATAGCTTATATATAAATTTTAATAAATAATCGGAAGTTTTAAATTGGGTTTATATAAACTATTCTTGTAAGTATTCACTCGAGTCTTATACTCGTCAATTTTCAATCTTTATAAATTTTTAAAATATTTTCATTTTATTTATAAATATAAATCACGTCTTTTTTAAATATATATATTTTTTTTATTTATTGAAATATCGATTGATAAATAAGGTCATTATTCAAATAAATTATGTGATTACCATTCGCTTTATAAATCAATAGTGTCTTTGAAAAAATTCAATAATCAAAAATATATTAAATTCGTGTTAAATATACTTTAAAGTATATAATTAAAAAAAAAAAAAAAAATTCAGTATTAATTTCATCACTAAATTACTCATTTTATGGAAATTGTTTTTCTTTCTGTTAATTATTCCTTACTCATTTAATAATAATGCTAATTTATAATTCGTTATTTTATATTTTAAAATGTGCATGATATAAATGAATACGAATAAATAAAATACAATTTATTATGAAACCTATTATGCTTTTATTTAATTTACTTTCCAGCTAAAAACATAATTCTGACATTTGACTTAATGCAATTTAATACAATTTGCTCAGTGCATTAACAGATATTATGTTTTTAGAATAGCTTCAAAATAATTAAATTTCGAATAAAATATTTATATCAAGACTTATTTCATTACGAATAATATTATAAAAATTTTCTAATATAGTTTCCATTACTTTAACAATTAGATATTTATGAATAAAAATCAATATAGCGTTTATATTGGAATAAACGAAGTGAAAAGTAAAGTATATAATCATAATACAAGAATTTTGTAACAATCTATAATCGAGAATATGCTTGTATCAGACTTATGATCAATATTGTAATTAGAGATTTTCCTTAATCTTCGAAATTCACATGATTAGAAAACAAAATTTGATACCAAAATACCAGCTGTCGCTACTCTTGACGATATTATCAACAAATATTCAAAGTTAAAGAAAGTGCATTACTACAAACATAAGTTTTTCTTTCATTAAAGTACTTTCATAATTTCGATACATTTTTATGGCTGTAATCAAATTGCAAAATATATAATTTGTTTATATTTTGCGTACTCTAGTTCACATACGTTAAACCTAAGATTTATTATGGATAAAATTCAATGAAAATCGTTCAAACATGCCTTTTCACTAGTAGAATTTATTGCCTTTCTGCATATCAGTTATATTATTGCATCGTCATATAATTTGTTATATATGATTTCTCATTATATCGCCATATACAAGTTTTATTATACAATCTCTTTACTAGATTTTGTCTTATATAATCGGTAAAATGATTATCGAGGATGCTTATATACTTTAAAGTTATGAAGAAACTTAAATTTATCAATACTGGCAATCTCTACAAATGACTCTATGAAATATTATTTATCTTAAAGAATAAAATTAATGATTATGTGTAGTTCATTACATAATTAAAATATTAAAATATATATATATATATATTATCGTATGCAGTGTAAATGTGTGACCTTTTTCATTTCATGAATATGTAAAATATTTTGATTCGTTTGATGTTTTGAATATAATGATGAAAATAATTTTGGAAGATTATTATTCAAGCTACAAATTGTTTAAATAATCATTGAGTTTTATATTTAAACAGTAATTAACTTGTTTTTCATTCAAAATTATAATTATACTCTGATTTTAATGAAAAGGTTTATGGGACTATTAATGATTATATTTCATCGCGTATTCGATTTATTTAGAAAAACATGAAAATATCAACGTGTATTTTAAGGAAGTTTAATCAATAAATTCTTCAGTTCACATATAACTAATCCATTCGTGAATAATACGCATTTATTAATATTATAATACTTTACGATTACCACTGCAATCAATATCTGAATATATTTTCAAAATCAAATATATTTAGCTCGTAATGTATCACAGTACCTCTTAATTATTAATTAAAATATTAATTTCATAATCAACTATAATCAATAAAATATACATTAAAATACAAATAGAATTTAAATGCGATATTTTTAAATCCTGTTTGAATATATAAAAATTTAAAACTTACTTGCAGATGAATACAAACATTATATTTACAGAAAAGCTGTAAGGGCTGCTTTGGTATTACTACCTCTTTTAGGAATTACCAATTTAATTTCCATGACTGAAGCACCATTGGACAAAAGTATTTGGGAATTTGCATTATGGTCATACACAACACATTTCCTAACTTCGTTTCAGGGTCTCCTCATAGCAACCCTTTACTGTTTTCTTAATGGAGAGGTAGGAAACTTCGATATAATTAACAATAATATAGAGGCAACGATACTTCATAATATATCTTCATTTTTTTTCTATCGAGTTAGGAATCTTTTTGGACTAATTCTTAAAAATTACAATGATTTTTAATTAAATTTATTATCTACTATTCAAGTAACATCAATACCGATGATCAATATTGATTTCTAATTTATTCACATTAAGAAAAATCTAAACTAAAGTATTACTACAAATTAATTATAAATTTTGTTTCTATAAATAGTTTTAGGTCTTATTTTTCAACTATCATTAGACCATTAATACCATAAATTTTTTTCATAAATTCAGAAATTATAAATTAATTTATTATTAATAATGTATTTTAAATATTCGATTATATTAACGAGAAAAATATTTCAACAATTTTTTTAATATAAATATTGATTAATTATTCGTTCATTACAGAAATATGTTAAAAGAATTTTTTTTAATTAAATACATAATTAATTAAATAACTAATTTTAAAGATAATGAAATAATAAGCTTATGCATAAATTACATTAATTAACAATTTTGAGTAATCTATCAGTTTATATCAAAATATTTGTTTTTCTATAATAAACTATTCTAATTCATATGCATGATTATTATGTCCCTATTAAGAAATAAAATATAATTAATTTTAACGACAAAAAAAATGTGTAGAAAGTTTAAATAAATACTAAGTTACAGGAGAATGGATTATTTAAAAATATACTACTTGAATTAATTAAAACTCTATTTTTCTAAATTAAAAAAAAGGATTATTTATAGAATAAATTTGAAATACATGTTTGCGTATATTATTAAAATAATTTAAAAATAAATTCAATCACATGTTTTTTAAAATTCGACAACTTAAATTCCAAACATAAAGTAATTTGAATAAAAAAAAAACTATTGTTTTGTTTTGATTAATTTAAAATAATTTTCAATGTTCAAAGAAAAATAAAATAAAACTATTCACAATTAAGCTCTAAGTTTATTTTAATTTATTTAAAGACTAGAAGATAAATGTACATTAAAACTTTGAAAAGATTTAAAATAATTTAACAGTAAAAATATAATCTAAGATATCATAAAACAATTTATTATGGACATCGAAGAAATTATATAACTACAACAAATATTAAATAAAAGTCTTTTAACATTTTTTTATTAGTAAAAAATATTCATGGTTTCAATATAAATAATTGAGTTTTATAAATATTCTAAAAAATTATAAAATTATAATGATCAATAACAAGAATAATCAATTCCATTATATATAAATATATGTATATATTATAGGAATATCATTAAATATTTATCGGAGGGTTATCAAATGAGAAATTTTGTGAAAAGGGAGCATGAAAAGGAATTTGTTTAAATTTCATAAGGATGCAGTTGGAGTGCTAGAATGGGGGCGACGACCGTTAATTTTTAAATGAGAAAAGGATATATATATATATATATATATATATATATATGAATATTTCTTTGCAAATAAATTACGTCAAACTTGTATGAACAATTGTAATGAATAAATGTTTTTATATTTAAAAAAAAGAGATAGGTGCTTTAGTCGATCGTTAACTTGAATTAATATTACCTCGTTTTAACGTGATATTTAATATTTTCTCCTTTCAATATAAGTAATCGATTAATGTAATTTAATGCCTCTGTACTTAATAACTTCCATAATTTTAATATTATTATATAATATCGTAGGTAAGGTTGGCTTTGGATAAAACAATTTCTGTATACATGTCGGTACGCGGTACTGATCTTACAAGGCGCCAATCAACTGTAAGTGGTTGTCAACCTCATCGAATTGCATCAGGTAGGAAATTTTCTTTCATTTAATTGAAAAATATAAATTTTCTGATTTTGAGGGTTCATATAAAAAACAAAAAAAATTCGGAATTTATTTTATATATAAATTTTTAAAGCATATCGACAATTTTTTATCAATGACGTTTAATTGTTTCGATTGCTTAACACATGTTTTTCATTAAGAAAACGTATTCTTTAAATATTATACGAATTATTATATAGAATCCTTAAAAACTAGTCCTTTTATTAATCTTCAATTAATACTTTAGATTAACATTATATAATCTATTAATAATAATGTTCATCACGTATGACAAACCAATATGAATGTTCATTAGGATAAATTAATATAAAATATAGTCATAATAGGATATTGATTAAGAATTTAACAATCTTTCAACGATAAATTATTTAGGCGAATGTTTTCATTAAAACAGTGTATCGTTATTCCTTCTGTCGTGCATTATGTTTGTGTATTTATATTATGTGTGTGTGCGTGCGTGCGTGTGCGCGCGCGCGTGTATGTATGTACGTATGTGTGCGCGTGTATGTGTGTGCGTGCGTGCGTGCGTGCGTGCGTGCGTGCGTGCGTGCGTGCTTGCATGTGTGTGTGTACAAGATGGTAATTTTTATAGTTATTATGTAGTTAGTTACCTTTGCCAATGTAAGAATGATAATTCGGTTATGCACTAGAATATGTCGGAACCACGAAAACGGTGGAGTCTGATGAAATAAATACACGAAATACACAAATGTTATTAATATTCATTTTCATAAGAGCACTACATTTTATTCCTCTGCATCCAATAATATTAAAATAAGGATCGAAAGGATAACAAAGTAACAAAATATAGCTACATTTTATTCTCTATAATTATTCTCTATATTATCAATTTAATCATTTAATCTACTTTATGCCTTCCCGAAAGAACTGTGACAACTTCTTTTGCTATTAAATATGAATAAAACGTTTCCATTTGGCAATCAACCAGTTACTATATATACTGGCTGAGTAGGAATGCACTTAGGTACAAACATGTATAAATAATAGCCATGGAGAGAAGGGCCGAATGAATAACTTTAACACTACTGTGGTAATGCAAAGAATCGATAATATAGAGCAACGAAATTGAATTCTAAGGGATAATTCGACCAAAACATTTAATTGGAAAACATTATTACCATATAGTTAGGATAAATTAATTTATGACGATGGCAAAGGGTGTTAATACGAACGAACAAAAACAATTATTATTTAGAAAAATTCTTTCCACGTTAATATTTATTTCCATATAAATATTAATAAATAAGCTAAAATATTAGTACTAATCTAAACGGTCGATATATCCTTCTTACTCTAATATAAGCAATTAACTGTGACGACTTCTCATTCGTCTATTACGCCCAAATTATGTATTCTGATTTTCATATTTGCCGTAGAATAGCTTTCTTCCATAGCATTTCCTGAACTTTTCGATCTCTTTTATATTTACATATAACAAATAAAATACAAAACACATGGTAAGAAGACTCAAAGAGAAAAATTATAAAAAATAAAAAAAATAGTAAATTTGATCTTATTTATTAACATTTCTAATTTTATTATTAATGCTATTTTAAATTAATGCTTTATTTATTTACACATTTAAGTGGAGTAGTAGATATTTTTGTAAGGACATAAGTTTCTGACAATAATATGAAGGCAAATGCTGCTATGCAAATATTGTCAAAGCAAAACGAGATATTTTCAACGAATTTAATATTGAGTGTTTGACTCTCGAAAAATTAGCTAACAATATTAACTAATGAAAAATTATAAATAAATTATAATCTACATAATTAATAAATACTAATTAATAAATACATAATTACTAAATATATTTTTCATGAAATATCGAAAATATTTTATCCATGAATAATGTATAATTCAAAGGTAGAGTAAATATGTAGGAGGTTTGAAGTAAAAAATATTTTTCTTCCCAATGAATCTTTAAGTAAATATGCGTGTCTATATTATTATGCAAATACATATATATATATAGCAAGCTATAGACTATAATTAATAAATACCTAAAATCAGTAATTAATAAATAAAGGTATTAATCTAGTATGCTTTAACAATTAATATCATTATTTATTTATCATTCAGCTATTCGTCCCTATGCCTATATTAAAAATCATTAAATATCGATTTATTTCCTATTCTTTTACCAATTTTTTTTCTTCAAATTATAACGTCTTATTGAAATTAGAGCAAAATATTTATTCTTTTTATTTTATAGATCGATTACTTCAAGTGTTGATGTATGATGATATCTTATATAACTTTAATTGATATTACAGTTTCATCTAAACCTTGTTATTTTAATTCAACTAACAGAAAATATATTTTTAACGCTGATTCTTCAGTATCCATATAATTTTATTTCTATTTTTATTTTATTTTATTTTTAGTATTATTAAATAATTCTGTTATTCTTATATTAAATAATTATTTAATAATTATCCTATTATTTATTAATATTATAAGCCAATATAATCCATTTATTAAATACTATAATAAGCTTTTTTAACAATTTAATATATATTTTGTTTTTTTAAATTTTTATCAAAACTTTGGTATCATGTGACGTTTGAAATAAAATTCTCGTATTATATCGTAGGATTCCTTCACGTTCCATATATATATATATATATATATATATATATATATAAATATACATACATAGTGTTGGACATTTGTGTGAAATTTTATTACACTTAAAGCCGTCCGAATTCCCAAATGTAATTGGGCAAAGGCTGAAACAAATGATCTCCGAGGTATCTCCCAAACTGCATTTAGCCTCCCCACCACTGTACTTACTCGTAAAAACGATCGATGCCCAACCTAGTTCTTCTATTTCACTCTCGCAAACAGCTTCTTCCATTGTCACCATCGAGCAGCCGAACGAAGACAAGAGCGTTTTATTTTACGTTGAGAGTGTTCAACATTTTATTTTGAAATTCTTCAAGATTGTTTGAACCAGTAGCACTTGTTTATTATTTCCGTTGAGATCAGCTTGAATCATAAGCATAAGGAAAAATAAAAACATAGTTTCGATGCATGAATTATCGAAAGATTATTCATATTATGTCTCAAAATTCAAGTATCCTTTGGAGTAAAAATATAAAGCGCATTTTATTATATACTGCCCCGTTACTTCTCCAATTACATTTATGATTGTTTTAACTATAATGAGTAACCTAATACTAGTTACACGAATAATAATTATCGGAGCAATTAAGAAACTTATAAGCCAAGTTATAAAATTTCATAAATTAATATTAACATGTAATTTAATAGTAGATGTCGTATTATTATTTGATTGTAGATAAAATCGGCTTCTCGTTAATAACAAAAAAATTCTTTTAAATTATTCTTTATATATCGTGAATAAAATAATATTCTTCATTTATTTATCCTAGTAACATTGCACAAGAATATAGAAATTCAGCTAGACAATGAATTATTGTTATTTTTCTCGCTTAAAAATATTATTATTTTTAACTACTGTAAATTTATTTCGTCAACAGTTTCTTATTTATGGCTTGATTATTTATTTATTAACTTATAATCATTACATATTCTAATAAAAATGGGAATGAATTTTATGGTTAAACGTTTATAGATAAACGCAGAAAAGTAATTTTCAAAAAGCAATCGATTATTAGAAAATATTTGCATAACAAAATGATTTAATCATGATATCATTGTAAAAAATATTCATCGACATTTTTCATTAAAAATAACATTTAAGTAGATGAGTGGTGCGTTATAACTCGTTATAATCATTTAAGAATTATGTACAATAGTTCTTTAAATTGTCAGATGCGGTTAGTTTCTCATTATATTCTTACATGTTAATGCGTCTAAACCCCCGATAATGTTTTGAATTTTGTAGTTATTGAGGTCGAAGAGGCCGAGATCAGGCCTGGAATAGGATGGATAAGGTTGTGCTGCCGTGGTGGTAACATGCCAACACCTGATCGTCCCATCGAGTAAGTAAATTTGATTATTCGCTTAATTTGTTAAAATACACAAAAATATCAAGAAACGTATTATCGAGAACATAGCATAGAGAAAATTTTAATTTGCCTAAGTACATATAGTTAATACAAAAAATATATAGTAAACATGTATAGTAAATGCAATGAAGATATTATATTTAATTAACAACTAATTATATGATAAAATTTTACATATCCAATTTTGTCAAATTTAATCTTTCCTCGGGAAAATATCCGTAAATTATTAATTGGATTCTTCAATGCTTAAAATGATACATTTATTTAATCTAAATTATATACGTACGCATATACATATAAATAAATAAATATGTAACGTATGTAAAAATCTAATTAAAAATTATATATATATATAATATTAAATAATATCAAAATTATAGTTATCATAATAAAATTTTGTTAATATTCTATTAATATACACTTATCTCAAAATGTATGTATTGTCATTCATATTTAAAAATTTCATTAGCATTAATCAAATTTTTCTAGTTACGTGTCTCCTAAAATATAAATGTCCGCAAAAAGTATTTATTATCTTCTATTAGATAATTAGACTTGAACTCATAGTAGTAGATAATCGAGCAGTAATTATTAAATATTTATACATATCAATAGTACTTATCAATCTTTTTTTTTAAAACTTTAATATAAATTTAACATTATCTTAATAATATATATTTTAACAAATATCGATATTTAAATGTATATACTTTCTATAATGTTTTTCTTATGCCGACGAAGACAGAAAGACTGTAAATAAATTAATTGTTTGTGTGTATTCTCGATTGACTTCAATCAGAATATAAATAATTTTGTGAAATTTTTATTAATAAATTCTCCGTACGAAAATTAAACATTCTTTTAATCTTGAAATTTATTCATTTTAAACATTTTGCAAAAACGAAGTTGATTAGTCATAATTCCTAAATACATTTAATAATGTAAATATTTTAAAAATTTAATTGAGAATCGCTGATTTTTTAACGATTGAATTGTTTTCTCATTAAACTCAATGCTATTTTCTTAAAGAAACTTTTGTCACGGCAACAAATAGACTTTGTATAAATGTTATTTATACAATCGTTTGCTGAAAGTCAATTAACTATCTTCAACTATCAATGTTCTTTTATAAATTGAGAAAAAAGAATTTTTAATGACATAATGACATACTACAGCTGAAATGACATTTAACAAAAACACAAACATCGAATAATTTGGACGTTCAGTTCCTGTATTATTTTGTAAATAATTTATTGCTGCAATTGTCGTTTCACGAGTATCCAGTCCAATAAGTTTCCGAGTACGGTTAAAAGTACCAGTACTCGTCATTCGTTTCGTATTAAGAAATCAAAAAGTCAAGCAACAACGGCAGCATGATTTAAGTTTCTTTCCAAGAGGTTCTATTTTTTATTTACATTATTGTTAAGTTCCTCCAGTACTATCGAAATTATGAAATAATATAAATTTTATAAAAATATCTATCTTAATATACGTTATATTCATAATTTTTAATTGTTGATATTTAAAAACGTCAATGCTGAAGAATATATTTAATATACTAATTTACTTATGATAAGTATATTTTACCGATTTTTACAAAACTCTTTCTAAAATCTCATTAAATATTTCCGGTTTCTCCGAATGTATTTCTTATTAAATAGCGCAGTTAGATGAATTATTGCAATAAAATTTTTTTAATAATAGAATAATTTAATTGCAGGACAACTCTGTGACCATGGCAATGCTGATGACACATACAAGGAATACGCAATTATAATTTGTGCGTTCACCTGAGCAACACAAGTACGATCGTTTTTATTTCACATCTATAATTAATAAAGCAAAATTTCTAGTCTAGCATTAATGCAGTAAACAAAGACATTAAATGATAATAAAAACGAAAAAAAAAAAAAAAAAAATACAAAAAACAAAAGAAAAATCGGATGTTCCTCTAAGATGTTGATACATCGCATTATAATGTGTCGATTAACTGCTGGCAATTTTACTGGAAGAAATTGTTATATGCCAACTATTATATAAGTATATAAAAAAAAATTCTTAATTCAAGGTTATTTATTCATAGTTCCAAATAGAGGCTTTTTTGATTTATTTATTTGGCTGTAAAAAATCGTAGGTGTTATTATGAATAAAATTTAGAATAAATTAATTGTATTTCGTCATTATATCACAACAAAACATAAATTATTGAATCAATATAATCTACAGTTACTACATGAATTATTTTATGAATATGTTATGCAAATTAGAATAAATTTTTTGTAAATTGACATAATTAAAAAAAGGCGATCTTATATATTATAATATAACATTATTCATACGAATGTTGATACTAATGCAAAATATTGTCTTAAGTCTTTTGTAAACAGAGGTTGATTAAAGAATTTAAACATTGCATGTTTAATCTGGAAAAATATCGATTTAACTAATTGACAAATTTTAATTATTTATTTAGTTCTGTAATTTCTAGTAATTTCATAAGATTATTGTTCTTACACATACATACAATATTCATTTTTGAGAAATTTCTTAGATTTTGACATATTGCTTGAAGTTAATACAAAATGATGCTCGAATGGTACTCGATATTATCAATCAATCAAATGAATATTAATTTATCACAACGAAAACTGATCTTAGCTTTATTTTGTTATTTTAATGAAAGTAATAAACTATGTATAATATATATATATATATATATATATATATATATATATATATATATATATATATATATATATATATATATATATATATATATGTATAATTTAATCCATAGATTTAATATAGAAGATGTTTGTGGTTAAACTAACTAAATGTTGTGTTAAAAGAATATTCTTTAAATTAAATTTTTCAAGTTACCGAAAAAAATGAGAAAGAATTATAATTGTAAAAATAACGAAATTCGCTCGATATTTATTTATGTATAAGTTAAAGTGAGAATTAATATTTTAATTATTTCATAAGTTTTTTTTTTTATTTTACAATTATTATACAAATACTGTCAACTTTTTAAAAATATAATTTATCGTGATAAAAATTATACTAATTATTACTTTAGATAAAATAGAATTAAAAAGTTTTCAATTCATTCAAATACGTTATATTTATTGTTTACAATCGCACGCTAATAATGAGAAATATTAATAAAAAAAAAGTTATTTAAAAATAGATGAATTTTTTTTTAATATAGATTTACTAATTGATTAATTTCTTATAATGTAATCTATAATTAAAAATGTATTTCCAATTTTTTTCCTTAAAAAATAATAATCCGTATTTGTTGGTAATACTAATTATTTTTTTTTTTTTTTTTTTTTTTATATTTAAAGGTTACTACCGATCACCTATAAATTTTACACATTCGTATGCTTTGAATAAATACTCAAATAGAATATTTTGTATATTAAGCGTTTATTTATACGCTTTAATACTAATTTATACATTTTAATGAATATATCTCTATACAAAAAATCAAAGTTTGTACTATAAATATAAAATTGAAATAACATAGTAACTAGAGTAGTAATAAGTATGTTGGTGTTATCTAATATGAAAGGAATTGCTTTTTAAAAGCTTAGAATATTCATTTAAACAATATAAATTGAATTTAATTTAATAATATAAATTTAAGAAAAGTTTAGATCTGTATACAAATTTAGAATTTAAGAGGCCTATCATTTTATTTCATTTAATGAAAATTTTTAAGCATTTCATTCGGACTTTAAGCAGTTGGAGAAGCAACATTTGTTCTTTGAACAAAATGTATACCTGATCTCGTATATTTTTATTTACATAAACACCATTGTCATAAAAGTACCGTAGTATAACTATTTAAAATTCATGTATACATTCACATTTCATGTATCCTCTAATTGCAAGTATGTATTCAAAGTCCTATCAGTCAGAGTACAAAAAGGATTATCCCAACGCGTTTTGAGCTTAAATATAAATCGAATATTTATTAAAGTAATACAATGCTTAATTATTATACGCTAATAGATACTTTATATTCTATTATTGGTGATTCAAAACACCAAATACATATCATAGTTAATTCTTCAATTTTTTATTTTTCATAGGCTTAACAAGACTGTAAAATACTATTGTACATTACATGAAAATTCTTTCGTATAAAATTAAATATTAAATGATAAAAGAAGAAAAATTACTGCTTAATCAATTTTCAATATGAATATAAAATATTTTTGCTAAAATTAAATAATTAAAATTTATTAAATACTAGAAATTAATTCTTGCATTAAGAAAATAAAAAGAAAAGAAAAGGCATTAAAAATAATGATTATTTCATTTACGGATAAGAATAATTCCATTGCGCTCTATGAAAAAAAAAATAAAAATATTTTCTAAATCCTCCTAATGCTACATACAAGTTTTATAATTTTGTCTTCAATAATATTAGATAGATTATATTTTTCTAAGCTCAAAGTTATTCTCGATTATATCTCGAATTTATCTCAATATCATCTCAAATGGAAGCTGACTATTAAAATTTATTGGAAAACGCTAAGTTACTACGATAAGCGTAAGAAGCATAAAATAGAGCTTTTGGAAATTCTGTCGTAATTCTTTAAGTAGCAATAATAGAAAATAGAAGTACTTCACAGAATTTTAGAAGTAAGCCATAAGGCTTGTAAATTAAAAAAAAAACTCAATGAATACTCGGTATGCAACTGAAATGCCTCAAATAAATATACAAGGAAAAATGACAACAACAATAATAAATGAACAGACTCTTGAATGATTTCTGTTTGAATTTTTAAATAATATTAAGCAGATTCGATTATATTTAAGTGTTGTATTAAAGTGAAAATGTTTCATGAAGTTTCGGTTATATCTACAATAAAGTTTGAAATTAATTTTTTTAAGCATTAATATAATTAACGATATTTGTCAGTTGTAATCTAAATATAGTATTTAAGGTTTTCTAATTAATTT